TCTAGGAAAAAGTGGAAGGTATAGAGTGCAGTGAAGCCAAGAAAAAAATTAGAAGACTGGGAATCAGCTATACATCAAATAATGGAACTGGAGTTTTCAACATCAAAAGTACTATTATTTATGAGATATTTGCCCTTCAAATACTGCTAAATGGGGCTGGAGAGATGGCTCAGTGGTTAAGAACAATGGTTGTTCTTGCAGAAGACCTGGGTTTGAATCCCAGCACCCACATGGCAACTAACAACTGTCCGTAACTCCAGTCCCAGGGGATCTAACAGCCTCTTCTGACCTCTGTGGGCATTGCACGATACAGGTGCACTTACCTACATGCAGGCAATACATGCATACACATAAAACTTTAAAAATTAAATTAAAAAAATACTGCTGTTAGTTGTAAACTCCTTAGTTACATATGACAGAACTGAAATCCAGCTAGGTGAGGCACTTTCCCAAGACTACAAGATGAGGCAGACACAGAACCAGAGAAAGCTTCCTGACTCACTGAAGTTCCCTGCATTGTCATGCTGGCTCATGCTGAAGGCATCTGAGTCATCTCTGTGGAGTCTAATTTCATAGCCACCCCAGAGTCCATTTCCTCCTTTCCTTCCAAAGTACCATTGCCCCATTCGGGGCTTTCTGGCCTCTTACCTGGACTATTGGCAACAGTCTCCAACCTGAGCTTTCATCTAGCTCAATCAGTGCAGGAAGGTTAACCTAACCAAAACACACATGTACACTCATGGAGGCATCCTTGCAAGAACCTTTGAATGACTTCCTGGTGCCTGATTTAGTAAGTGTTAAAGAAAAAACCCTTAGCACACTATTCATGGCCTGCCAAATCATCAGCAGAATGCTCTACACTCCAGCCACATCACTGCGCTCTCCTGTGTGCCTTTGTGCCTCTGCCTATGTATCTTCCCTGGAAAACCCCACCTGTGAACCCCTGTGGATCCTTTCCCTATTCATGAAATCATCCTCATTCCTCCCACTCTGAATCTCTATAGCCCTTCATCATTTTGTGTTTCACTGTGGTTCTGCACGTGCATGTCTTAGCTGCATTTCACTGAACTCCTTGAGGGCAATAACTTGAGTCATATTTATCTTTTGATTCCCAGAGCCATAGGGAAGCACATGATAAACAATGAATTCTTTTTGAAGGAGTGTATTCTTTCCATCGGAATAGGCTCACAGAATGAGGTTATGAAAAGGAAAATATTTTACAGCTATACAGCTGTGTTTAAGAAATAGCCATTACACAAAAGTTAAAAAATGTTAAAGTTTAATTTTGCAAAAATGTTATAGTAAGCTGTTGATCGATTATTGAAGAAGGAAATTTTATTTTTTATAAGTTTAGTGCAGCCTCTGTGAGCAGCATTGATAGTCTATGGCAGTGTGCAGTCCTATCCCAGGCCTTCACACTCACTAGCTGCTTCACCCAGAGCAACTTCTAGTCCTTTCACATTTGATACCTCATTTTCACAGTACTTTAGATATACAGTGCTTACCATTATGTTATAATTGCCCAGAGCATTCAGAACAATAGCATGCTGTTCATTCAGGCTTGTAGTCAGAGAGCCAATAAGATATGCCATATAGCCCAAGTGCATAGCCAGTTAGACCAGCAAGGTTGGTGTAAATACAATCTGATGGTCATACAATGACAGAATTGCCTAATAATGCATTTCTCAGGATGTGTCCCTGTCATCAAAACTCATGCCTATATTATAAGTTGAAACAGTATGATGATTCATCTTTATTGTTGAATTGATTGAAGACACCTAGAAAACTGGTAAAGCACATTTCTAGGTATGATTGAGGAGGTGTTTCTAGAGCCAATTGGTATGTGGGTCTGCAAACTGAGGAGGCAAGAAGACCTATCTTGAATTGTGGGCAGCACCATCCAGTAGAGCGAGGGCCCAGATGGAGCAGGAGAGAAAGTGGACAAAGTAGGATATTCATATGTGTCTGCATACTGCACTTTTTTGGGGTGGGTGTGTTTTTTCGCTGCTGCCGTCACCCCCAGACATTAGACTCCAGATTCTCTGGCCTAGACTTGCACCAGTGACTCTTCAGGGGCCTCTGCTTCAGTCCGAGGCTGCAGCATTGATACCTCTTGTTCTGAGGCTTCCAGTGGACTGAGCAGCTATTGGATTCTCTAGTTCAGCAGGCTACAGAAAGCCTTTGAGACTATTCAACCTCTGGTCATGTGAGCCAATCTGGTAAATCCTTCTTATAACTAAATATACATTCTACTGATTCTACTGCTCTGGAGAACCCTGGCTAGTAAGTGCTTTTCCTTAGATTGCAAAATCTTTTACAATAGAAACTTCCCTGGAAGATAGTTCACATATTGTGCTCAGAACTCCATAGCATGTCACTGACTAAGGTAGGTGACAGGATGTAATTCAGCAGGAAAGATGCTTGAATTCCTTTCTTCACTGAAGTTGCTAAATAAATGTTGAAAGTATTGAGAGAATGTAGCTTACTATTAGATAACAGACCTTACTGAATTGCCAATAACTTATCAGTGCACATAGCACTATGACCATATAAAACCATTCATGATGAGCTATGCTTCACTGTAATTAAGTGCACACAGGGGATTGTTAATAAAATATGTTTTGTTTAGAATTTTTGAAACCATATAGAAAAAGATGAAAAATTAATCACATAAAAACCTTGCATGCATTTTATTTAGGTTTTTTAAAATCTGAGTTAAAGTTTTACATACACTGTATATAAATTAAACAATTTTACAAAATCCTGGAAAATGTCAGAATCTGTGTTTATGACGCAAGAACAGACCAATAACATCAGAAATGACTAGGAACTATCACTGTAAAGAATCACCTTGGATCAAAGGGCAAATGCAAAGGCAATTTAGGAGCAGATGGAACAGGTGTAAGGGGCTCCATCTTCACACTAATTGTCAAAGGTATTGATATCTGTGCTCCAATGCATGGAAAAAAATGCAGCTGTGTGCTATCCAATGCTAGCTACTATACTGTACCAATGCAGATTGTTACTGTCTTTGTGTTTTGGGGCTTGTGTAGGGTAGGAGGTAAATGATGAAAGAGGGCCTGGAAGGGAAACAGTGTAGAAGAGAAAAGACTGTATTAGAATTTTATTAGAGGTTAAAAACAATTGGATAATTAGTTTTGGATTTTTTTTTTTTTTTTTGAGACAGGTTTCCTATGTAGCCTCCAAACTTGCTATACCACCTAGGCTGGCCTTGAACTTGTGATCTTCCTGTCTTGGCCTTCCAAGTGTTGGGATTATTTGTGTGCATCACCATACTCAACAACTTGGTTTTCAAAGATGTTTTGTAGAAGTCTTGGGAGATATTCAATGGATAAAGAGCAACACAAGCAGGAGGACCAGAGTTCAGAGCCCCAAGGCCAGTACAAATGCTTGTTGGATGTGGCCGCCCACCTGTAATTCCAGGGAGGAGACAGAAGAATACTCTAAGAAAGCTGGCTAAACTAGTCCTATCATTGAACTTTGGCTTCAGTTGAGAAACTCTCTCTCAATGAATAAAGTGAAGAATAGTTGAGGAAGACTCCGGATGCCAGTGTAATAGCCCGAGCACCTCCATTTTGTGTAAGTTTAACTGGTTAATCATCCAGCATAGGTCCACCCCTAGGAAGGCGGGTCATGCTAAAGAGATGACCTGAATACTTAGAGCGTTAATGAGATAGCGAGTTTTTCCTGCCTGTATTCCTGCCTACTAGCGCAGAACTTCCAAAGAGCCACAGTCACGTAGGTCTCTGTAAGTCTGCCCAACTAAAAGGCGTAATTTCCCTTTTTCTTCTCCATGCCTTTCTTACTAAACATGCTTTCTTTAAGGCTTTGGGTTGCCCCTAGAATCTTGTATTTCTTTATTTTCTCTAAATCTTCCTTCTCCCAGCCATGTGGCTGCCAGCCAGCCTTGAGTCTGACCCCCATGCCTTGTCCCCTCCATTCTCCTCCTCAAGGCAACTACCGAGATTACTAGCTTGCCTACTCTGAGGATTTTTCTTTAAAATTCAAATAAAATTGTAAAAGCTTAATTCAGCTGATTCGGAACTTTTTGAGTCTGGATAGTCTTTCCCGGTTCCTGAACTCCATAACAGATGTGTCGAGTTAGCTGTCCAGCACAGGACACAGTAGATGCAAATGTGAACACACATGCACACATAGACATGTATATAAAGAAAAAGCTTGTAGATATTTTTATGGTAAAAGGACATTGAAGTTAGCTTTTAAATTGAAATTTTCCCCATACCACAGCCCTAGCAAAAAATGAAACATTGGGGCTAGAGAGATAGCTCAGCGGTTAAGAGCACTGACTGCTCTTGCAGAGGACCCGGGTTCGATTCTCAGCACCCACATGGAGGCTACGAACCGTCCTTAACTCCAGTTCCAGGGGAGTTTGATGCCCTCTTCGGACCTCCGCAGCATTGCACGACATGGGTGCACTCACATACATGCAGACAATACACTCATACACATAAAATTTTAAAAAAATTTAGATGAAACATTATGCAAGTCTTTTTCTATGATTACCCTTGTGAAACTAGAGTACAGATTTTCAGGATCAACTTTGCTTGCTTTCACCGAAGAAGGTTCTATCATGCTACTTCTAGTGTCTCTCTTCCTGACGTCTAAAGACAGAAATGGCATTTCTTACACAGTTATACTGTAGAGCTCCATTCTGAAGGAGCCTGTCACCAAGTTCTTTCCAAGTGATCAGGGAGGGCATGGCTCAGGGACCAGGCATGCACATTTGCATTTGTTGTTGACAACTGTAGGCTTTAGCCAGCCTTCCCTTCACAACCCCCTTCTAAATGGAGCTTGTAAGCCTCCTTCCCACCCACTCTCTTACTTCCCAGGACAAGAATGTTGACTCCTGCTTTCTGTCACCTGTCAGAATCCATCCTCCTGTCACTGGCTTATATGGACAAGTCAGTCCAAGGTCATGTGACCTAGAACTGCTAAAAACAGCTCCCACTCCTAACCAGGGCCTGAAACAATGTCCTCCATGGAGAGAAATGTAAAGGACACTTGATCATACGGTCCTTGGAATTATTTCCAGGAAACACTTGCAGAAGTTCGGGAGCTCCCTCTTCCTGGCAGCGCACTCAGGGACGGCCAGGAGATGAGCGCTTCTCTGAATTACAAGTCTTTCTCCAAAGAACAGCAGACCATGGATAACTTGGAGAAGCAACTGATCTGTCCCATCTGCCTAGAGATGTTCACAAAGCCTGTGGTCATTCTCCCGTGCCAGCACAACCTGTGTAGGAAATGTGCCAGCGACATCTTCCAGGTTGGTTTGTTTGGAGTTTGGAGGTTGCAAAGTCTCCCTCCGTTCTGAATCAAGTGCTTGATAGCAAATTCAGTACCCTTAGAAAACTTTCCAAGGCTGTGTTTGTTTTCAGTTTATCTGAATTTCAGTGTATTTCTGTTGAACTGCTCTGTGCTTTGCTGTCAATTTCCTCCTTACTTCCAAATCCAGTTGTATTTAAATTCTAAGAACCATATTTATTTTAAGTAAAACCAGATCCCTGAATCTATTTCAAAATTGGAAATGAATTACTGATTAGGATATGAATGTTGGAGTTTCTGACTGAAAGTTTGGGTTATGAAAACGCTGGATGGAAAAGTGCCTTGTGCTGATATGGGTGTACTGCAGACGGCTATGGATAAGGGCTGGCCCATGTTTCAGTACCACTTGCAGTAAACCCTGAGGGTTTGTTTTATGACAAGCTCAAAGGAGTCCATGTTGTGTGTAGTCACAGAGAGTGAAAATAAGTCTCCAAAAAGCTCCCTGAGGCATTACTCAATTCCTCTTTTCTTGCTTGGCAAGAACAGGCCTCTAACCCTTACTTGCCCACCAGAGGAGGCACCACGGTGGCATCAGGGGGACGATTCCGCTGCCCCTCCTGCAGACACGAAGTGGTTTTAGACAGACATGGGGTATATGGACTTCAGAGGAACCTGCTGGTGGAAAACATCATTGACATCTACAAGCAGGAATCCACCAGGTAAAAGCCCCTCTGTGAGCTGGACCCATTTGATCATTCGTTTTCATTTTAATGAGTTGATATACTGAATACTTGTTGCTAGTCACAGATAATTGTTCCATATAAAAAAGATTTATTTCCAAGTCAGTTTTTCCCGATGGAACTGAGAATTGCTCATGGAGGGAAAGGAGGGAACTGGAGCACATGCATCTATTTCATTGAAGATGGTGATGTTAAAAGAGATAGGATCCTGCCCCCACAGTCTTGTGCTACACGCGTTGTAGGTATATTGACACACCACTACGTTGAAGAAAAATCTCAGCCCGAAATTTTCATAAAGCTAAAAGAAATGATACCTTCTAAAATAGAAATGATACCTTCTAAAATAGCCTTGTTCCTAATAGTCTTGCCTTAAAATTGTCTGGAAAATAACAGTAGCAATTTAAAAACACTTTGACACAGTTTGTCATAATAGTCACTCTACTGGAAATTCAAGGCAAGATAATACTCTGGTCTTCAGGAACTTTATTTAAAGAAATGCAGGAGGGGGAAAGGTGAAGTTCAGGCTATGCTTCCCCAGTCCCTAGATTGTATTAGTGTATATCATTAATGTCTATTTGTTGATTGATTGAGATGTCATATATACATTCATTCATTAAAAATACATTTTTAAATCTCATTTATTACACCATCTAGGCCATACAGTTCCTTTCTTAGACACAGCACTGTGAGGGTATATTCCTAGAAGGCACAGTGTGAAGAGCCATTTTTTTCATTGTGCATAGGTCAATTCAGTCCACAAGCTTGGTAGCCACATGGAGACCATGTTGAAAAAGACTCATTATGATCCTTTTTATAGGGGACATGTGTTTACGGAACATCTGCAGGGCTGTGAGAGCCCTGCACTCTAAGAAGGAAAGCTGTTCTATTAATCCAACACGTAATTATTGTAATTATTGTGGCTATTAGTCTCTGCTTAAGATTCAAAACTAAATTAGCTAGTTCCAGGATATAGATGGAATTGAGGGAAAAAGTTTTGATGACATATTGCAGACAACTGTTTCTCTCACTTCCTGTATCTGATCTCATTGCGTTTCGTTAACTTTAAAATTCAGAATCATATTGTATCTTTAAAAAGATTAACCAATTAATAATTAATAATCAACCAGTTATTAAAAGGCATTTATGTGACAACTGCTTCAGTGCCAAATGCAGTGCCTTGCACAGAATAGTTGCTCTACAATGCCGGCTCTTTAAGCAGCACCACAACCAATCTTTCTCATTGTGTTTATCGCCGTTACTGTTCCTGCCACAGTGGGAACCACAAACATGAGCATAATGACATTTGCTATGGAACCTAGAGGACAGCAAATTTTAAAACTTGTGTTGGTAAAACTACAAGACATATCTTTACCTTAACTATGAAGCTGGCTTGATGCATATGTCAAAAATAGTACCCAGGGGCTGAGAAGCAAGTTCTATGCACCAAATTCCCACCAATAAAGCATATAGCTGAATGGAGAAGGGACTTTGTTTTGTTTTGCTTTGATTTTTTGAGGCAGGGTCTCCCTGTTAGCCTCAGCTGGCCTGGAACTCACTATTTGACCAGGCTGGCCTTGATGTCACAAAGATCTTCTACCTGCCGCCGCCTCCTGAGTGCTGGGATTAAAAGCATGTCCCCCACACTCAGCTACAGTAAGAATATTTTTGTGATTATCAAATTCTTACATTGGTTTTCTAACTTGACACTTGTCTTTGGGGCATTTTCACTTGGTAGTAAAGCCATAAGTTGCCTAAAGCACTTGGCTACATGTCTGGTCATAAAACTAGTTGTTCCCTGAAATCAGGAAGCTATAACAGACCAGAATCCTGAGCCTCAGGGCACATTAGATGACCCTGGAATAAACTTGGACATACCGAGTGAAGTAAGAGGGCCTCTGGACATTGGTTGTGTCAACAAAAAGGACAGATGCTGTAGATGATGGTATGAGTACTAGTCAACTCTCACTTCTCACAGACTAGGTGGAGCTCGAGATTGCAGGTCTTGACAAATTCTGGCCTTATACAGAATTTTGTGTGGTGCTGAACTAGCCACACTCTGGAGATTAGAGTAGGCACTAACTCTGTTAATATAATTATTGAAGATACAAATAATTTGTAAATATAATAAGCAAAGCTACTTTGTGCTGTGTGTTTAGCACTGTTAGGGTGCTTTACCTGGAAATTATGTGGAATTCTTTGATTTGCACAATAGTCTTATGAGCTGGTTTTTCTTATCACCCTACTCAAGGTTTGTGGAGGGGTGTGTGCATGTGTACATGTTTGTATACATGTATAGAGGCCAGTGGTTGAAGTCTTGCTTTACTGCTGTTCACCTTATTTTTCTAATATAATATTTTATGAATTCTTTGAGAATTTCATAATGTATTTTAATCATATACCCCCCACTCCTCTCCCTAACTTCTTCCAGATCTATCCCACCTCCCCATTCCCAACATCTTGTCCTCCTTTTAATAGCCTCCCGAGTCTAATTTGTCCTGTCCATGTATTTGTGGGTGTGAGGCCATCCACTGGAGTGTGGTCAACCTACCAGGGACCCTTGAAGAAAACTGACTCTCATTCCCCCAGAAGCCATCAACACAGACCCACAGGCACCATCTCCTTATAAGTGCAGAAGAAAAAAACATGGACCACTTGCAATAAATAATAGGTTTGGAACACGTTTGGCATAGAGAATTGAAGATGTGAATCCATTCTATGAGGTGGCAGTGGCTGAGCACACAGCTGTGGTTCAGGGCTCAGTGCTGAATGTTGACAGTGGTCTCTCACCAATCAGTACAGGCCACACATTGGCAATTGACTTTCCACTGTAGATGAGAGGACTGCACTCTGTCAGGCCTGAATTCTCCTCTGTACTTGTGGATTTGCTTATGACCCCTTGGTCGAGTCCCTTGGATCCCACACCCCCCCCTTTGTTGGCTTACTGTCTTGCTTTTTTATGGAGCACATCTATATGTAATCTTTTAAAATGCCCACCAAATTCTCTTTTTTTGCTTCTCTTACATTCCTTCCTTCAAAATACCTTGTAGAGGTTTGGCTAAGGATTCAGGCTGCAGTTCTGGAACCTTCCCAGGGCTCTGGGCTTCTTGTAGGCTTCTGTCTAGCTGGCACTTAGAAGAACTGAGGGAAGCCACTTCTTTTCATCTAGATGTCTCCAGTTTCCAACACTGGGTAGACATCATCCACTTACTGTCTTTTTACTTTTTTTCCTTATTATTTTATGTTTTTTTTATTTCCTTGTTCTCTATTTAGAGAGGTTTTGGCAGAAAACATAAATAAATGCTCTCTGCTCATTTTGCCAAATTTAATTATAAAAACTCTTAGTCTAATTTATAGATATGAGTAAAAATTGAAATCAAAGAGGTTTAGTGATTTATTTAAGGCCACATATCCAACACAGAAAAGCTGAACCAGAATTAACTTTTCAGCTCGATTTAACCACAAAGGGACTGAGTAAGCCCCTGCACCCCTTGGCAAACACTACAGTGACCCCAGAAACCTCAGAAACCAGGGAGAGCAGGCTAGAGGCCCTTGAAGTTTGGCCTGTGCAGAACAGTGAGGGGCCACTGCCAACATTCAGTACTGAGCCCTTAACTACAACTGTGTACTCAGCCGCTGTCACCTTATCCAGTGTATTCACATCAATTCTCTATATCAAACTTGTTCCAAATCTGTTATTTGTTACTTATAGGCCTTTCTTCCACACTTATTTATAAGGGGCTGGTGCCTCTGGGCCCACATTGCCACCTAAATTTTAAAAAGTCTAAATTGAATCACAAAAAATAATGAAATACAACCTTCAGGTCATTTCCACATGTTCAGTAGATGTGTCACACATACACCTGAGCTGTCTCTGCTCACAGCTTCGGGCATCAAAACAGCATAAAGGACACGAGATGTACTCAGGACATGCCTAGGGAAGATAAGCTGCATTAGCATGGCCTGTGATGTTTTGTCAGGGGATACACTCTAGACTCCAGTGTGGTCCACGTTTCTTACAGTATGCCAATACCCTTGATCAGGCAGAGGCAAACTTGTGAGTCCTGCTCTCCAGATAACTCCCCAAGGCTTCATCATTTATTAGTAGCATATTCAAAATTTTTTTCAAAATTCTTCCTTTACAATTTATGAGTGCCAACTGATCCTGAGCTTTCTTGATTTTATTTTTATTTTATCACCCATTCATTCAACAAATATTTCTTCTCTCTGTGAGGCAGTTTTTGAGAGCCTGGGAATGCAGGAGAAAAGAGAGATCAAGGCTCACATTCTAATGGAGGACACAGGCCCAGGAAGGGACTAATCTTCCCAGTCATGTGCATACTTTCCTTGGTTGAGTGCCAAGCATATGGGCAAGTAGGGAGATCATAGGTTTCATGAAACTATACTGCTACAAGACTAGACAGAAATTCCTTTTGCAAAAGATAAGATTCCAAAATCATGAACGTGGGAGTCTATGCAATTTCTTTATTAGACCTAGAGCTTTCCCAACATTTATTTATGCAAATCTCAAGTACTTGATTTCTACCTAGTATAACAGATTTATCAGCCCAGTCTCTACTTTCTCTGACTTCTGGAACTACAGCTATCTCATTCTACACATCAGCATCAGTGGTGTTCAGACATTTGTTAATGACTCACAGTAGAAAGTATGTTTTATACTGTAATACACATTTACATATGTGAATAACATGTAATATGTTCTTTGTTTCATATATACATGTATACAATATGTATAAATACATATACTTGAAACAGATTTTCACTTGCTAATACTCATTCTTACACGAGCAATTCACAGACGGTATCTCTGTGTGACCATTGTTGTACTCTGTAACAGTTTCTTTCTGGTATGAAAGAAGTTTCTTTGATGAGCAGTGACTGGGATATTTGTCTGTAAACGTGAAGATACATATTTTGCACACAGTAAGAAATTACATTCTTCCTAAAGTGAGGGACTCTAGATAAGCTGGCTAGACCTCAGTAGATGAATGTCTGGGGACACTAACTTGACACAACAGGCCTTAACACAAATGGCAGAATGTATGAATTCCTGTGGGGGCAGGGCAAAGGAAGGTGCCGGTGGGGACAGAGTATAAAGATGATTAGGATTGAGATGTTCTGTATGAAATACACAAAAGTTCAATAAGAAATTTAAAAATATTTATTCTTACTAATTGTAATTCACAGCATTGCTGTTCTACTCCATTTTGATTTAGCAGCACTGACTGAACAAAAATGTGGCAAATGTAAGATGCTTCTAAATAATTCCATTGGGAATAAGAGGAAACTTTTGAATTTGGATTTGAATTTTTCCAATACATCTAGCAATCTTAGACTTAGCTTTCAAATTCTGTTTATTTATTTATGGTGATAGTAGGGGTAGGCATGCTCATGCCATGGCACACGTGTGGAGAAGACAACTTGGGGGACTCAGTTCTCTCCTTCCATCATGTGGGTTCTGAAGATCAAACTCAGGTCTTCAGACTTGGTGGCAAGCACCCTCACCCACTGATCCATTTTGTCGACCCCAGCCTCTGTCTTTAGATGGGATACATCAAATTTCCTGTATTTTGTATAAGGAGGCTACACCCATACTTACCTTTTATATTCAGCTACTTCTAACCAACACCTGGATTAATTACACAGAAAATTCTGGTTCTCCAGAGCTACTTCCATCCTTAGCCTTGTAGATGGGAAAGGTTTTCAGGGACCAGAGCTGGAGGGGTAGGTAAGACCGAACTCCTCTACCAGCCTAAACTGGAGATTTAGCTTATCAGCAATTTCCACTTCTTCACTCACAATAACCGGTGTCTCTAGGAGAAATCTGAGCTTGTTTGTAGATACAGAGGGCTGGCCAGACCCCAATGTTGAACTTTCAGAAATTTCACTAGGCTGTTTTGAAATTTTGAATTGATGCCAACATACCATAAAAATTAACAAATGCTAATTGACCAATGCTACAATCAGTGTTGCTGGTCCCTAGCCCGAAGCTAAGCAGACTGTTAAAAGTTCATCAGCATCCACCACTATAGTTGGAAGGACACTAGGCATGAAAAAGGACCCAGGGTGTCTTCTGAACTAGGTTTGGGAGGTCAGAAACCGGTTGGGGATTGCCACTAGATATTGATAGATGTTTATCTGCCGACTTCCTCCCAGGCCAGAAAAGAAGTCTGACCAGCCCATGTGTGAGGAGCATGAAGAGGAGCGAATCAACATCTACTGTCTGAACTGTGAGGTGCCCACCTGCTCCCTGTGCAAGGTGTTTGGTGCTCACAAGGACTGCCAGGTGGCTCCTCTCACTCATGTGTTTCAGAGGCAGAAGGTAGGAGCTGTACTACTCCTCCTCCTTGGCCCCTTCCTGGTGAGTCAGCTCCCTGCAGTCAAAGGAGGAAGCTCAACATAGAGGATGCGTGTGAAGGTCCCCCATGGAAGGAATCTGTGCAATTGGTGTTGCTGCCTCTCATTAGAGTCCTTGCAGGGTAGTAGGGTAGGCAGGAGAGGGAGATGGTGTTAAGGTTCAGGAAGAGATGCAGAAGGATTGGTTGCCCTCTGTAGCTTTGGAGGTTGCTGAAGATAAGCAGTATTAAGAGGCCTGACCAAGTGCCAACTGCTCCAGGCTACTTGAAGTTTATAGACAAGAAAGAATTAGATGGTTTTTGTTTCCTCTGTCCAATCCTAGAATTCTTTTCACATTTGTTAATGAAATGTTCCTTCAGACCTCTTCAAAGCCTTTTCTCACTTACTTCTTATGCAGGAGATAATAAAGATGGCACATAGTTATAGAACACCTCCTGACAGCCTTCTAGTCACTTAGGGCAGATGCTAAAAGACACCCCTGAGAGGGGTGCGTTCCCCTCACCCCAGGTTCCAGACCTCAGCTTCTTCATTCTGACCCAATACATTCTCTACCTCTGTTCATCAGCCTGGTGTTATACAGGAGCAACTGAGAGCTTCCCCTCCTGTGCATGTGAAAGGGAAATGTGCATCAGTAGATTAGCCACTTGTAGCACTGAGAATTTGACTAGCCCCACTTCTTAATTTTTTCCCGCTTAGAATCATCAATTCACTGTACGTTACTTATAAAAAAAGAATCAAAATCAAATTTGAACATCAAACTCCTGGGCAACACCTGCTTCAATCAGTAACCACAATTTGAATTTGTTGTCTTTATTTATTTCCAACTTATTTTTTATTGAGTCCCTCTTGCCTCCTCCCTAATGCCTAGCATATTAAAGCTGGATGATATCTGCTTCTCACTGCATCTCTGGGAGCCCTGGAGGCTCATGGGATGGGCAGAAGGACCTGAAGTAGAACTCCCACCCATTCCTCTTCGGCTAGAGAAGCTTCACTTTTACCTAAAAGGTTTCCACATTAACTTCCATTCTGAGAAACAGCTCTGCAGCTTCCACATGCTTTACAACCACTGTTTTGGCCTTGAGAAGATTGAGGTTCAAATTACTTACATGTCTTACTCAATATCTTAGAGAAGTTAAGGCAGAGTTGGACCAGCATTAGATTTCCTAAATCCCCATTCAGACTCCTTGTGGCTCCATGTCCAGCTTGGGAGGAGGTTAAATAGAAACAGAAGATTATTTCCTGAGTCAAAAAGAACGCAGGAATTTCAAAGTTGAGATATTTGCTAAAAACAGCTGCATGTTACAGGTTTAAGTTTGTATGACAGTCTAGTGGGTATTTGGGTATATCTATGCTATATCAGCACAGTAGGGTTGTAATATATAGATGCCTGCTAAATGAATATTTACTATACATTGCTCAAGTAAATTGGTTCTGAGCTGCACTAGGCAAACAATTCATTCCTGGCCCTAGAGTCACATATTAGACTCCATTCCACTTATAAAGGATGTTTGGAATTCTCTAGCTTGAATATACCATCCTCAATGGCTTATAATTTCGTGTTCTTCATGTTTTTAACAGAATCCAGGTCTCCAGAAAGAATGTGATAAAAACCATGGAAACTCTTCCCACACAAAGCATCCATATACTAAAGTTTATTTGTAATATCAGGAGGCTCATGAGCTTCCCAAGCCCGGTGGTTTACTCTTTAGGGATTAACTACTCCTCTCTCCCCAAGGAAAATACTGTGACTACTCTATAATCAAAAGTGAAAACCAGTAAGATCCTGAGTCCTGTTTTCTCTTCATCAGTCAGAGCTCAGTGATGGCATCGCTGTTCTTGTGGGAAGCAATGATAGAGTCCAGGGAGTAATCAGCCAGCTGGAGGACACCTGTAAAACTATTGAGGTAGGTCATGTGACTTGCAGTGACCCCCCCAAACCAATCCTGCTTCTCCTAGGAGCTAGTGGTTCCTCAGTGACACTAGAAATCCTGTCCCGCTGTTCCATTCTTTCCTTATAGAATGCTCTCCTTTCTGATATGTATCTGAAATACTTCCTGGCACAGAAGAGAACCTGCCACATGACTTTATGAGCCAGATTTTTACCATGATTACTCAGGTGGTTATTGTGTGTGTTGTTTTTCCTTGGTCAGCTCCTTTTGAAAGATTGGCACCAAGAAGTCAGTTGGCAGCAATGAAAGTGAGGGCTGGTGCTATTCCGAAACACATTCTTGGTGGAAATCTAAGCAGTCTCCAGAAATGCCGGAGTCTTTCAGAAATGCTTTAGGGCGTCTCCTGCTGGTTGGAACTGCACTCCTGTGCTCTGACAACAAGCTTCATGCCCTTGCCTCCAGGGGATAAAGCTCTCCTCACTGTGGCTAGAGGGCTGAGGAATTATCTGTTGTCATTGATGTGTGCAAGGCCTCTCTTGTTAACCTATTTATTTCCTTTTGCCCCCATTTCCCACTCCTATTCTCTTCCCATGGATAACCATGCTAATATGTCAGATTTTCTGTTTGTGTGCATTTTTATAAAATATGCATTGTGTTTTATATACACATGTGCCTGTTACTTTTTCAAACAGCATTGCATCTTATCTCTCATTTTGCTTCTTTGTACATTGAACTAAGCATTATAGTTTTAAGATCCATTCATATTACCACAAGTACATCTAGTCCCTCAGTTTCCCCTTCCGTGAAAAGATGACAATCATAGTTCTCAATCTGTAGAGCTTAAGGGCATGAAGATACTTAGCCCAGTACCTGGTATGTAGTGAGTAGTCTTACTATTTTATTATCACAAAAGCAAAGTTTATTAAGAGTCAAAGACCATTTCCTAGAGGATAACTTCAAGATATTAGCTATAATTATCTCATTTTAGATTTAAATATCATTAAAATCAGTTTCCTTTCTTTTCTACACTCCTATTTCTGAAAACATCTGTGATACATGAGGATTCTCTTATAGAAGGAACATTGTTGTTGTTTTTCTTGAGCCCAAGAAATTCAGAAATGGACAACACAGACTGTTTTCTTTGTACTTATTTACAATAAAGATCAAGTACAGTTAGTCATTAGCCATGAGTCAGCACTCCACTGTGGGGCTGTGTTGGATCTAGTGTATATAAATAGGAACCTGTTGCTTGTGGTGAATGAAGCAGTCTTTATCCTTATCCAAGACTGGTGGAACCTTTGTCAGAGATGTCTGTGGGGAACGACTAGCTTCCTGTCTGGGATAAAGACAGAAGAACATTTGTTGAAGGTCCTGTGGGCCACTGGGGTATTAGGCAAGGGAAACAACTGTAGTTAGCCAGCACTGAAGGATACTAGGAGGGTGGAGAGCGATCAGACAACAGGTTTTCTTTATAGAGGCCAGCCAGTGGCTCAGTGGGAAGCAGCTGTTTCTAGTTAGACTGAGTAGCGGACAGCAAAGAAGAGATCTGAAGTTAATTCAGCAGAAGGGATTTAGATAGTAGGGAGAGCAGCCAAGGTCAAGATCATTCATTCTTACTGATAGTGACACCATCCAAAGTGGCACACATATATAAGTATTTTCAGATTTCTACAGAAAAGCATGTAATCACTCCTCCCTAATCTTAAAGATATTGATAGTCTTTAAAGGTGCTTATCTTTGAGCCTGCCTTGGGGGTGCACATGTAATTCTAGCAACTCAGAAGGGGGAGGAAAGATTAAAAGTTCCAGGCCAGCCTACATCAAAATAAAATAAAATAAAAAGAGGCTGGGATTACAGACTCATTTTCTAGTATACAAAGGCCCTGGGTCCAAGCCCCAGTGTCTTGGCAGGGGGGAGGAGGGGAGTCTTCCCCCTTTCATCTGTTTCTTTCAGTTGTGGGACTTCATCTTAAGGAAATAAGATTTTTAAAAGAGCAAGGACAGAGTTATACATGCTGTATAGGACATATACATTCACATGTAACAGTGTGGAATGTCAATATTTATATCTAACCTATACTTTCATGGGAGGGAAAAAAATCAGAAAGGAAAAATACCAAAGAGTTAAGATCTTTAAATAGCAGGACAAGGTGGGTATTTTCTGAGTTTTGTTTGTTTGTCTGAGACAGGTTCTCACTGTGTACTCCAGGCTGACCTTGAACTCACAGTTATCCCCCTGCCTCAGCCTCCTGAGTGCTGAGATTACAGGCATGAGCCATCATGCCTGGCAACAGAGGTGATTTTCAATGCCTTCCTTATTTGTTCCTGTATTTCCCATCTTTGAAAAGGAAGTCTGATATTTTCAATAGTCAGTAAGACCAGGCATGAACGAGTGGATACGGTGTGGATAAGCACAGTTCTTTCTGGTTAGGGTAGGTTTTTCCTGTGGAGATTCAGGAGTTGCTTCAGAGTCACATGGAGGTCTCTCACTATGATTACTGTCTTCTGTTTAAAGAGGCCTGAGGACAGAGACACTATTGCAAACATCCACCTGCGCATCTATAATGCTATGGTAGTCCACCAATCTAGGCCCCCATCAGTGGGCAGAGCTGCAGAAACTCAGCTTCCTACCAGTCTGAATTACAAGACAAGGTGGAAGAAACCAGGGCTCTGACTTGAAGACACATGGTTCTACTTCACATAGTGGTTGAATTCCTCAGAAGGGCTCAGGACCCCAAGCTCCTATGCCTCTGCTCTGGACTGTCATTCTCCTCTCTGGCTTTGCTCACCACAGGCGCAGAACCATTTTCTGAGAAGCTATTGATGGTTCCTAGGGGTGGGGAGCTGTTGTTAAAGGATTCGGTTTTCTGATGGGAGAAGGACACTTTAGGGATGGGAAATTAAGTAGCCCCTGGGGTGGGCACTGTTCTTCCATAACTACCTTGCTTCTCCCGTGTGTGGCCTTGGCAGTGTGCCCATTCCTTGCACATGTCTAATTTTGTCCATAATCATGTGCCACCTTGCAGGGCTGGTCTTGGAGTATTGCTGAGCTTAGAGTAAATCACACAGTGGGCTCCTTGTTACCTCTTTAAAATTATGCATGTAACCACCATGCATTTGCAGTGCTGATGAGGGTGACTGTTTCCCTGTGCAGTAGACTGAGGGTGAGTAAAGAAAGGCCTGAATCTTCCTAGCCCTCCCACCTTACGATGACCCAGCTTGACTTTCCCTCAGCTCTGAATTCCAGGTTCACAGAAGGTTTCTGGGATGTTCTGATTGAGGCCATTATGGATGGTCTAGAGTTTCACTTTGCTTTCCAGGCCTGGAGACATCTTGGGAAGGACTAGAATTGAGGAGGGCACTACTCGCAAGAGTGAAGTTCTCCCCAGGAGCTCTCTGCTTCTGGAAAAAAATGTTTGGCATTCTTTCCTCATCCCCAGAAACATAGCCGCTCTCTTGTCATCTTTACCAATGACACTTGTCCTGTGTCACTAGATACCACAGAGCACAGACTGTTAATAGTAACCCCCCAACAGCAAATGAGCAAACATAGAAATAATCCTATTTTGTATGAATGCCTGTCTGGGGGAAACTGCTACAAATTTAATAATAAACATTTGATACTGAGTGTTTCTAATATCTGAAAATGACAATTTCAATAAGTCCCCTGATGATTTTGGAAGACTAAGTCTATCATATTTCCAAAGCAGTGATTTTACCCCAAACTGCTTTTGTAATTCCTGATACACTGTCTGTGTGTGTACACACATGAAGTAGGAATATAGTAAATAGTTTCAATAATTGTAAATCACTGTGTGATTTACTCTAAGTTCAGCAATGCTCCATGCTGATCCCTGGCCAGTTGCCTCCTCAGACCAACCCTGCAAGGTGGCACATGAGTAGGGACAAAAATTAGACTTGTGTAGAATTTTTAACACCATGTTTTTAAGGCAACATAATATAATGTTTTAAAAGAATGATTTCAGAGTTTGTCATTTAACCGTGGGAGGTGGGACAACTGACTTAAGCTCCCTGTCCTTTAACTTCCTCAATTCTATATGGGGCGATGATAGTGTCTTCATAATGTTCTGATGACCAAATTAGAATAAGAAGCCCATTCCAGGAATTTAGTATGCGTCACCTTATATCATCTTCAGAATCAGTGTGGAACATGTACACTTATCTGGATGGTGCAAATGAACCATCGTTTGACCCACTGGAGCCTGTTTTTAAATGGTATCAGAAAACTGTAGGTTCCCCGTTAGTTGCAATGACAGAGTTGAACAGCTCCCTCCAGGGGAGAAAACTGTAAATGAATGGAACTAAGTACTGGCTCTACTCTTGTGAGTATTGGCAACCAAGGAAGACTGAGCATCTCCTGAGTACATGCTGACTGTCTTCTGCAGAGTGCAGAGTGAAACATCTGCTCAGCTTGCCACATGGATTTCCTGAGCTGTGGGAAGCATATGCCCTCAGGCTTCACAGCATTTACTCAGGGATAGTCTAAATGGTCTGGACTGGTCCAGAAAAGCCCTGATGCCAAGGATCTCAACAGCAAGCATTAGTAAATGCCGTGTCACTTAATTATCCTCTCAAGGAGTGACAGAACAATGCAGTGGTGATGAGCACAAGTTTGGAAGACCCAAGACCCCTGGCCAGTGAATGGAGTTCTCTGCTAAGCACTACACAAAGGTGAGGGCTGAGTAAGAGGAGGCGGAAGCCCAATGTATGCCTCTTTTCTAGAGGCATCCTAGTCTGTGCTCATGGGACTTCTCCAAGTGCTTCTAACTATAGGATGAATGCCTGAGCTTAATATCTTTGGAAGGATCAGTCCACTTCACATGGTTCTTTGTTCAATATTGCTTACTAATATGCTGTCCACTGTTTTATTTCTTTTTTGAGGAGTGTGAGGGTGGGACTTTTGAAGTACTGTATCTGGCATGAAGCTGTAGCTCCACACAAGTGGTTTCCAATGAATGCTGCAGGAATGTGGTGGAGATATGAATGGAGGGTGGA